ATGGGAAAAGTGCTGTCAGAGATTAAAATTACAGGTTTTGTAGAGAATTCAATTCTCTATCGATTGACTGTAAAATGAGAACTTGAAACTTCATAGAAGGGGATTAATAAACAAGAACAAAAGTGGCTGGTTTTATCTGGCCCACCCGTTACTTCGAAAGAAATTTAAATGTAACTAGTGTCCCAGAATAAACTGCACTAAATTTTGATACATTTTTCTCTCATTCTCTATTTATAAAAAGAAATCCTTTATATACCAAACGATAGATAATTTAATTCTTTACAAGATTGTATATTTGTTTTGATGTGTTGTTGTTTGATGTCTGGTACAGTAACACTTAACAAACTCTAAACTTTTTAGCTGAACTACTCATTTTTAAAGTGCAAACTGCTCTCTTTTTATAATTGTTTATAATAAGTACAAAAAAATTTGAAATAATTTTATTACAGTCAAATAGTAAAGAATTTCATGCTTTACAAAAAAAGTTGAAGGTAATTCATTTCAATTTCTAGTGGCTTTAATATATAAACTTTCAAGTCTACTGAAAAAGAAGAATTTCTTGCTAAAGTTTTCAGTATACCTTGTTTTGTTGAATAAATAATTTTTAACAAGGTTTTGCGCAAAAAAAATCGAGTTTTTGAAGCTGCAGTTAAAAAATTTGGAGCTTTTCTTGTTAGAGCTACTGTACCAAACATCAAAGATAGATCTTAAAAACACATATTCAATCTTGTAAAGAATGGTATATAAAGGATTTCTTTTATTAAATAGGAAATGAGAGAAAAAATGCATCAAGATTTAGTACAGGTTATTCTGGTACATCCGTTAAACACGTTATTCAGTACATCTTTCTCTGCAGCTCGACAGTTGATTTTCTCCGATAAAAATTGATATTTTTAAAGAAAATCTAGCATCAGTTTTTCGCTATTGTAGGACACTGGAAACATCATTTCCAAATGAATTATATGAATATATCTTTGTCTACTTCCGTTCGGAAGAGTTAATTCAATCATTTTTTAAATTAAATTATCGTTTTAATTCATTGATTTATCTTCATCTATCAAAACAAATTGATCTAACAAAAATAACTAAAGTTAAGCGAAAAATTATACTCTCCAACATTAAATCGAAAGTAAAACGAATAAAACTGAACTTTAAACAAAGATCTGAAATGTTTCCATTCGGAGCAGCAGTATTCGATGAATATAAAAATCTTAAATCGTTAACAGTTATTGATATACCATATAAATATTCACAATGTTTATCATCCATGAAACCAATTAAAACGTTGACATATTTGAAAATGGAATTCTTTCATGAAAATTATATTTATTCATCAGAAGTATGTACTGTTCTATTACAAGAGGACAGTCAACTCGAAACACTAATTATTACTGGTCGATCAATTAGATTAAGTGGTGCTATCGCAATTGGATCATCACCAAAACTTAAAACATTAATTATCATTTTGGAACATCAACAAGATCTACTATTACTACTAAGACATTTACCGTTAATAGAATATTTAGATGTGACGATTGCACAGGAAACGACGAGACATGATGTTTACGATGTGGCAAACGATGGTAGTTATTCAAAACAATTGAAAACATTTATTATTCAAACATCCGGCAATTCCAGTGCCATTAATTTCCATTTGCTGGAAGTTTTATTAGAACACTTTGAATATAGCCTTGAATATTTAGCTGTATATTGTACGTGTGACGGTTTAATTGATGGCCAACAGTTATTATCAGCAACTCGTTCAAACTTAAAACAACTTAATTTCTTTCTTCATTTTGATCGCAATATGAAACCGTATAATCTACTCGACTATTTATCGACATTTAAAGAAGCAACAACACCTATTACATATTACTATAATACTTCTTGTCAACACTTTTTCCTGTTTAATACCTCAATGAATAAGGCTCGCATGATAGCAGCACAAATTAATCTACAACATCTGCTAATTGATACTGAACAAATTTAAATTAGATTATGAATAAAATTATAGCCAAGCATGGCACATCATAGACAAAATACAACACCGTTAAGCACTATGATCATACTACTCGTCATTCTTCCATACAGTAAAATCTTAGTGTGTAAAAACAAAATGCGTTTTGTGTCCATATGTTACGCGTAACCTGTCCGGTTCTGCAGGATAGGACCGATTCAAGTTATAAAAATTTTACAGAGCAGATAACAGGTTACAATATCCGTAATCTACTTTGAATCTGCAAAAGAAACACGATGAGAATAATCTATAAAAGTTAGGAAATAGGATTACGCCGCTGTTGGAACCTATAGAATCATTTTCACTCTTTCCTACCTCCTTTCGTGTTACTAAAAAGACCTACAAGAAGAAATCGGTACGACATACTAAATTGAGCTGAACTACTTTTGTGAGATGATACTACTTAACCAACAGAACGTCGTTTTGAAAAATTACTTCGTCTTATTTCGCGACGCTCTGTTTTCAGTCGAAAAACGTTTGTGTATCACCTGCGCACAGTGGCTACTGTGCGCAGTTCAAACCCTGGGTTTTGAAGTATTTTCCATTTTTCTCGGCCGAGAAACATTTTTACTGAAAATTAATGTAATATTTGGTATCAGCATAAAAAACTGCACCGAATGATATATAATTTATTAATTTTACAAATAAAATATTTTTTTGACAAGTATTCAGAGCAAGGATCACCTCCAAGGAATTTTTTATCGAAATAGTCTTTTCGATTTGGAGTTTTTTCAGTTTTATTAATATCTGACGCACAATGAGACCATACTACGCGAAAATAATCATTTTTTAACTTAAAAAAATCAGATGTCCGCCTGCTCTATGGATAAATTCCCATTGCGCGGATGTGTGCTTGAATATCGGCTACAGACTATGATGGATAAAGATAGCATATAGACGCGCAATGTCAAGGTTCAGAGTTGACTTCTAGTCTGATCACACATTTTTCGCTCACACAGATAGATTTCATACCGTTGGTAAGCAACCATCATCTGCTACATTTGATTCATGGTTAGAAATGAGTAATTATCGTATGTGATGAATGATGAGTAGGTTACGACGACAGAACTACTATATAAAACTCAAATCTTCTATACTCAATGTCCGGGAATATATATGTTCATTAAATGACATCAATAGCGTTGAAAGCGATTGTCGTTTCGATTCAAAAAGGAGAATAATTAAAAATGAAAGGTTTTCTCATCAGTTTCCGCCTGTTCTCATCATCAGTATATTTGCCGATATTACAATAAATATGATATTCGTAATATACATTAATAATTGACCCAAGTTGTGTAGCTGATGAAGTATTTCGACTATGATTCATTTTTCCAGCGAACATCAGGGTTTACTGGGATCTGAGGAACGTCGAAAAAAAATTGGTTTTTATTCATTTCTTACACAATCGAAATCATGTTGAAGAACGTTAAAATGAGTCAAGAATCGATTATCAATATCTATAAAGAAATTAAACAAGAGCTTAATATTTTTTTATACTTTTCTTTGATCTATTAATTATTGGACATTTTTCTCGTTTTTCTCTTGACTCTCTTCTTGATAACTGGAAAAGATACTGGCAAAATGTCATATATACAAACGAATGCTTAAAACAGTAGAGGTGAGTTGCATGCTGTGCTTGGAAAA